GGGGAAAGAAGAAAAGTTTTAAAAATGACACCGACAATGCCAGATAGAATAACAAAAACACCTACATACCACATCGAAGGAAAGACGACGGCTCAGAACCTGGTTTTGAAAAAGTCAGACGACAGCTTACTAAAAATGACAAGGGGTTTGCCAGACAGTAAAAAGACAACCCCCAAAGGGGGTTTTCACTGGGGCAACGAGCAAAAACGAAAAGTGGGGATGAGGTAGATCAAGGGATCCCGGGAAAAACCTCACATAGGAAAGACGTGATAAAATTTTTGGAGAACCCAATTTACAAAAGCCTGGGACCTGGGTATACCTCAAGGGTTTAAAAGGGAAGGGAAAGAAGCACTGTGTGCATACAAGCCAAAAATTTCAAGTGTCTGACAACGGGTTTCCCAACCCAGGAATAAGGAAATTGAATTTTTTTCCCAACGTTGAAGCAAGGATACAGCTGGTAATAAGAAAAATTTCAACATTAGGGAGCATTATTTCGAAACGTTTTTCGTGCTCGTCAGTCGAGTAAAAATGGGGAGGCGCAGAAGCATAGTCTCGTAAAAAACTATACAATCGTCCACACCCCCGTATACCTTATCATTTCAAAAGGAAATAGTGCTGGAAAATAGACCTTCATCTTTGCATGCATGTTATTCAAGTTTTAGAGAAGAAAAAAACCAAAAAAAAATGATAGAATAGATTAAATTTTACATCGAAGTGGCAGTTTATTTTACAAACCTTTTTGCACTCGTGGAGACAGCACAAAAGAAAAGGATACACAATAAAGGGCCCCAAACAGTTAACAGTACATCTGAATTTATACCCACAATTTTCCTTATCTTTGCAAGCAAAATTAGGGCATTCTTTATATATCTAATAAAAACCTATTTTTTTATTAAAAGAAGCCTTGACACTCACTTGGTTTTTTGACCCTGAACCTGGGAAATTAAAAAAAATTTTTTTATACAAAAGTCAACCCTTGGTTTGAGAGGGAAGCTTCTAATGACCTGGTTGATTTTGACGAAAGGATGAAAGATAAATCAGTGAAGGTGCTGATACTTTGCATATTTCTAGAACGTAAGAAGATATTCTATAGTGCACTATGCCCGAAATTGATCACAAACTTAGAATGGAAAGCGGAGATAACGTCAAAACTGCTACAGTGAATTGAGGTTAGGCTACGTTAGGTAAGGTTTGTCAGGAAACAGGACATGTGTTTCCTGACACGGGTCTTAATCATATGATGACCCGCAGCTGGAGCTTTTAGTCATATAACTGAGGCGTTTCACTGGCTTACCGGTCCACCCCTTTAAAAGCTATGGTTATGATTTATAGCGAAGTGAGGAATACTTATGTCCTAAGGGAAATAAGACAGAGAGTGATGGCCAGGGAGAAGGTACATGGATGGGCAGAGGTGACAAGTGGGGTCCCACAGCAATCAGTGATGGGACCAGTTCTTTTCCAGAAGAGACACAATCATATATTTCACTGTTTTCAGAAGATGCTAAACTAATGAGAACACACTAAAGGACTAAAACAGGCTACAGGAAGGCTCACGCACATGGCTACTGCAATTCAACCACTGCGAATATGTTATAAATATCGGGAAGATGAAAGAGGCTGCAAACTATGGGTAAGGAGATAGTTCTTGGGGTAAACATAACATCGAGGATATTGCCAGGGTTCATACCAACATAACAGTGTCAGAAGCATATGCGAGCCAAGTAAACTTTACAATGGCTTTCAGGAACCTCAAGAAGGACTCATTCAGAGCCCTATACATAGTATGTGTTAAATATAAAAGAATGTGCACCTCGTGCTTGGACTCACACAAAATCAAGATTACAGTGAAACTTGAGAACGTTCAAAGATTTAACTAGAATGGTCCCAGAGTCGAGAGAACTAACCTATGATGAGAGGCTAAAGAAACTGTAAAGGAAATATAACAACAACGTACAAGATAGAAAACTTCATACATTAGACAGGCACAGACTCTGAAGGCGGGACTCGCGAACAAGTGGCGAAGCTGGCGGTTAAATACGCATGTAAATCACCAGGGATGTTAGGAAGTGCTTCTTCAGCCTGAGGGTGATCAGGAAGTGGAATATCTAATATGAGGAAGGAACAGTCACATACAGTTTTAGCAGAGATAATGCAAGGTCCACCAGGCAAGAAACTTGTGGAACCAGTCGAATGAGGTTAAGAAACGAGAATAGGAGCTGAGAATCGACCCCAACAGCTGCTAATAGGCAAGTACACACAGAAACACATACAGATACAAAGACACAGACACACAAACACGCACACACACACACACACACACACACACACACACTCACACACCCCACACACACACACACACACACACACACACACACACACACACACACACACACACACACACACACACACACACAAGGAACAAAACCATCTAGGAGATAACACCTCCACAACATTCTGGCTCACTGAGCCAACTTTCATTAAGTTAATCCACTTCTACCTCAAACTTTTTTTCCTACAGCATGCAAACTGTTACTTTCATAATGAAATTTGCGTCTTAGACAAACTTTTTATCACAGAACAACTTCGTTGAGAACAGTTCAGCATTTCTTTCATTTAAAAATTCTCTCCTCTCTCTCTCTCTCTCTCTCTCTCTCTCTCTCTCTCTCTCTCTCTCTCTCTCTCTCTCTCTCTCTCTCTCTCTCTCTCTCTCTCTCTCATATATATATATTATTGTGATCACAAACGAGTGGTATTGATCAATAACAACACTGCACACTAGCCAAGGACTGGAACCCATGCTGCTTTGGCCTGCCTCATGGTGGGCGAAAACACATGACGCCCTAATTCACTGAACCATACGATCCTTAAGAGTAGGGCATCCAGCGGCACTGGATGTTGTACTTGCTACCCAAGGACACACGATGGTGTGGATACCTGGAGGTTACCTGGAGGTTATTCCGGGGATCAACGCCCCCGCGGCCCGGTCCATGACGAGGCCTCCCGATGGATCAGGGCCTGATCAACTAGGCTGTTACTGCTGGCCGCACGCAGTCCGACGTACGAGCCACAGCCCGGCTGATCCGGCGCTGACTTTAGGTATCTGTCCAGCTCTCTCTTGAAGGCAGCCAGGGGTTTATTGGCAATTCCCCTAATGCTTGATAGGAGGCTGTTGAACAGTTTTGGGCCCCGGACACTTATGGTGTTTTCTCTTAGTGTACCAATGGCGCCCCTACTTTTTATTGGCGGCATTTTGCATCGCCTGCCCAGTCTTTTACTTTCGTAGGGAGTGATTTCTGTGTGCAGATTTGGGACCATTCCTTCCAAGATTTTCCAAGTGTAGATTATGATATATCTCTCCCTCCTGCGTTCCAACGAGTACAAGTCAAGTGCTTTCAAGCGTTCCCAGTAGTTAAGGTGCTTGACAGAACTTATACGTGCAGTAAAGGATCTCTGTACACTCTCTAGATCTGCGATTTCACCTGCTTTGTATGGAGATGTTAATGTACAGGAGTATTCCAGCCTAGAGAGAACAAGTGATTTGAAAAGGATCATCATGGGCTTGGCATCTCTCGTTTTGAAAGTTCTCATTATCCATCCTATCATTTTCTTTGCACGTGCGATCGTGGCACTGTTGTGATCCTTGAAAGTGAGATCCTCAGACATTACTACTCCCAGGTCCCTTACATTATTTTTCCGCTCTATTGTATGGCCGGAGTCAGTAGTATACTCTGTTCTAGTTATTATCTCCTCCAGTTTTCCATAACGGAGTAGTTGGAATGACTCTAGGCTAATTTCATTCTAGTCCCTGTTTGGTGTACTAGTTATTGGTCACAATAATATAAAATACTGCTCGTTGAACTAGTACACCAAACAGGGACTAGAATGAAATTAGCCTAGAGTCATCCACACCATCGTGTGTCCTTGGGTAGCGAGTACAACATCCAGTTCTGCTTCCTCAGTCCAATACAGAAAAGAATGGTTGAAGATCAGAAGGAGTTTAAGGAAATCAATCCCTCAGCCTGGAGTCGATGTGATCAGTCCACCTTCTCCCGGCTTCAAAAGCCTTGTCGCTGTGTAGTGGTGGTGTAATGAAGCTACGTGGTGGTAGTGGTGGTGGTGATGTGGTGGTGGTGGTGGTGGTGGTGGTGGTGGAGGTGGTGATGGTGGTGTCACGAAGCCACCTTAGACGGTTTGTTAAGTATGAAGACCATCGCCTTCACGTGGCTCATAAATTAAGGCTGCATTTTCGAACACTTTAATCCCTGAAATAGGGATTAATGAAAACTTTCTACTTAGTACACTAAGGAAAACAAAACACACACACACACACACACACCCAAACACACATTGAGAGATACACGCCTCTCTATGTATATACAGTTTTGAGAAGAAAATACAAACTCGCTTTGTTTCGCTTAGCAAATTACTGCTGCAGCACAAAGCACTTCAATTACTCAAAGACATATACAAATACGCACATCAAGGCAATGTTATTTTGCACTTTGCACACGTGTATTGAGAGTAAAACGTCTCATATATCAGACCTCTCTCATGCAACCACTAAAGTCATACACCTTCCTGGATATTAATTGGGAGTCATATGCATCTGTTGTTTATAAATCTTGTCAACTGGACAGACTTGTGAATATAAACGGAGTGACAGAACGAGTACGTAGTAAATAGAACGTTAGCTTCCCCTACCCTCCACCCTCCTTAGTCACTCCTAGAGGAAATGACTTTTAACTGCGTTTAAATGTTTTCTGGGGATCAGTCTCGGAAAAGAGCCTGGAGGAGCCTTAAGGACAAATTCTCGCTTTTACACTGAGGCTCCCTGACAATTTAAGTATTTTCTTCTCCAGTCCGATCCTTTATACATGGGTACATTGAGAGTGTGGATAAAATGTGCATTTAAACTCCATAACATTTATTGGCAGACAGAGTAGTTGCATTCATGAATATAATAAGTCTCTCCTTGTGAGAGTTAATGTTGAAATCTAAATTATAACCTCGGTACTAAACTGATGTTTTTAAGCCAGAAGGATATTCAACTTGATCCCTCTGTTGCATATCTAATAATGGTGTAATATCAAGCATCATATTGGCCATAATGTGCTGCTCGCTACCACTTACGTCAGCTCAGTGTCTGCCAGTGATAATATATCTCCCTGAGCGGCAGCCGCCTTAGCTGATGCTTCCTACATCACATCGTATCTTCCGTGGGATGGAAGCAGTTGCCTGCGCGTAGCTGGTTCCCCCCTCCCCTTCCCCCTCCTCCTCCTCTCTCAATGTAAACAGCTACAACATTAGATGAGCATAAAACATACAAAGGAAGCTAGCTAGAGGTGTGGCAGAGTCAGAGGAGTACGTGTGTGTGTGTGTGGTGTGGGAAGGGGCTGCCGCAGCCGTCACTATGCCCCGCCTCTAACACGCTACCAACGCGACCATTGGTGGTGTTGTCGGTGGTGTGGGAGGGCCGAGGCTGTGGGTGGGGTGAGCATCGGGAACCACACATGTGTGTCGGTGGCTGGGGAATACTGGAGTGGTGCAGCCTCGTGTTGCTCGGCTCACGTTACGTGGTGTACTGTGCTGTGGCGCGCGCCGGTTGCACGTGTTGAGTTAGCAGGCAAGCTGAGCGCCGTCTCCCGTTTCCTGTTTCACATGGGCGTCGGCTGAATGATGCCCTGCGACCCCCTGATGAAGCCAAAACTCGGCTTCTCCATCGAATCCCTGGTGGGCGGTAAGGTAGGCTCAGAGAGCCGTGGGTCCCCGCCGCTGGCCGACACCTGTAGCGATCGCGGTGTGTCCCCTCCCATCTGCATGCCTCCGTCGTCTCTATCTCCCGGACCACCAGCCTTCAGCGACCTAAGGGCGCCCCTGGCCATGAGGGCTCTCTTCGACGACAACAAACCATTACCTATCCAGCGACCGCAACCCATTAATGGCGCTGCGCAGAGGCTGTCGCAGGAAGTGAGCCTACCGCCATCCCTGCTGGCGGCGGCGAAGCTACCCACAGGCCTACACCCGGCCCTCTTGCCGCACCACCTGAACCTGGCGCTGCCGCAGCTGCAGGGACTGCATGGAGGGTTCCCGCCGCAGCTCAACCCACTGATGATGGGTGGCAGCGCCCCTGGCTTGGCCTCACACCTGCCCCGGGAGTACCCGCTATACCCCTGGCTCCTCTCCCGTCATGGTCGAGTCTTCCCTCACGGCCTCCCCAGTGAGTACCTCACAATTGTTAACCTTCAAGTCACTTCCCCGTCCCTCCCTTGAACCTCTCGGTCAGTGCTCCGTCCCATCTTTGTTACCCGCACTCACTACCTAAAACTGCCCTCAAATTCTCAAGTGAAGAAAGAGGAAGAAACCGCCTATTCACTGGAACTGTGCCTCTCATCACTAAAGTCCAGGGATCGAATACCCGGACTGAAAATAAAAAAAAAAAAGAATTCCAACGTAAATAACCCTTGTGCAGTAAATCGCTCCCCTCCCTCCCTTAAATGATTGAACAACCTTTGCTTGCTCCCGTGAGAGTAGCAATGTTTCTGTGAAAGGATGGTAGACGGCAACCATTCACAGGGAAGGTAACAATCTCCCGTCGCGTGAGTGTGATACGGAAGCCTGTTAAACATTATGAACTCTGGCAGGATTGTTTGTCATTTTCCTCAGACCTTTAAAAAAAGATGACGGAAATTCTTCACCCGTCTTCTTGCATTCAGTATTTGCGTGTCTTAATAGTTCTTATTCTCATAATGCTTCCTTTACAATTTATGAGGTGTGGTCTGAGACCGGCCGCGAGACCAGTAATTCCATTAACAGATGCAGCAACAAAGGTAAACAACAGATGCAACAGAAGCAAACAGTCGAAATGACAGAGGTAATCAGGTGTAACAAACAGAAGTAACAGAGGTAAATAACAACAACTGATACATAGGCAAACAATAGCGGTAACAAGTTAAAAACAGATGTAACAAAAGTAAACAAATTTACTAACATAACTAAACAACAGACATATGAAAGAGGTAAACAAAAGCTCTCCCCTGAGGCCTCAAATGGGTATCTATTTTATATGATAAGATACTCTTGTCTAAATTTATACCTCTGATGTCGTGAGGTGCTCTTGATCCAAGGAATTAGTGGCTGCCCCCTTTCTTCGTTGGATCAAACCTGATTGACCGCGTATTTTAAACGCGTTGAATATAATAATAATAATAATAATAATAATAATAATATTATTATTATTTATTATTATTATTATTATTATTATTATTAAAATAATAATAATAAAATAATAATAATAATAATAATAATAATAATAATAATAATAATAATAATAATAATAATAATAATAATTATAATAATATTCCTCGAGGTGTCATCAATGTATCTACATACATATCTTTTATTCGTGATTAATATTAACTATACCTCCGTCTATCCTTCGTCCCAGTCTATCACTTGTGCCATCATGTTCCTCATGGGAAATGTTTATTGCCAAATCCAATGAAAGTCTTTTTACTATCCCCTCCCATCCCTCCTCCCATTCCTTCAATTCCCATCCCTCCTCCTCCCTACCCATCCCTCCCTCCCCCTCCCAATACCACCCTATCCTTGTGTCAACACTTACTATCACCCTCCCGCTCATTCCCTTCTCTCACTTCCTCTCTCCTCGGTCCTTTCCCCTCATCCCCTATTCTTCCCTCATGGGTCACAACCCCTCCCCTAAAATCCTCCCACCCCTGGACCCCCTCCCCACCGATCCTCCCACTCCACCTTTCCATTCGAGCGGTTTCAGGCTTAAGGGAGATGGGCCAATGAAGCAAGTAAGCTTGAGGAGGGAATGGATAAGTGGAGCTGGTAAGTTTAATTAAGGGGCAATGGGCAAGAGGAACAGGTAGGCCTAAGGGGAGGATTGGCTAGGAAAGAAGAGGTATATGTTATATACAGTAAGTCGGCGATAGGTTTTTGAAAACTGCGACTTTAAGCGAAATGGCGTATAACCAAAATAATTTTACCATAGGTTAATTGATATAAACATCAGCGGTGCACAGTGCACCTTTAGCACTCACTGTAGCTAAGTTAAATCAAGGAATAAATGTTTCCAAAGTAAAAATTGTAAAGAGCAACTCCTACCACCAGGTTGTTCAAAAACGACAGTGCAGACTCCTCACAGACAGTAGCCCCGGCGGGGAATCGATTTTTTTTCTGTTCAACGTTATAACGAAACGAGGCTGAGAGAATCGACGCCAAGTGAGGACTAACTGTATATATATATATATATATATATATATATATATATATATATATATATATATATATATATATATATATATAAATATATATATATATATATATATATATATATATATATATATATATATATATATATATATATATATATATATATATATATATATGTCGTGCCGAATAGGCATAACTTGCTATCTTGGCTTAAATAGCAACGCTCATCTTGCCACATAGGACAAGCGAAAATTTGTGTATGCAATAATTTCGCCAAAATCATTCTGAACCTAACGAAAAAAATATATTTCACTATGTTTGTTTAGTATTAAATTATTGTAAACAAATCTAAAATATATATAGTTGGGTTAGGTTAAAATAAATTGTTCTTCTTATAATAAGGTTAGGTAAGTTTTCTAAGATTCTTTTGGAGCAAAATTAAAAATTTTTACATCAAAATTAATGAAAAAATTATATGTTTAAAGGTATAAGAGAAAATTTTAGAAAGGGCTTAATTTTAAATGAGTTCTTACTAATTGACCAGTTTTACATATTCGGCACGAACATATATATATATATATATATATATATATATATATATATATATATATATATATATATATATATATATATATATATATATATATATATATATATATATATTATGCATATCGTGCCAAATATGTAAAATTTGCAATTTTGGCTTAAATAGCAACGTTCATCTTGCCATGAAAGACAAGTGAAAATTTGTGTATGCAATAATTTCGTTAGGTAAGTTTTCTAAGGTTCTTTTGGTACAAAATTGTTAATTTTTACATTAATATAAATGAAAAGAAAAATTAAACGTATAAGAGAAAATTTTAGAAAGGACTTAATTTTAAGTAAGTTCTTGCTAATTGACCAATTTTACCTATTGGGCACGACATATATATATACGAAGAAATAAGCACCCGTTTGCATCATTTAGCACAAATGAAGGTGAGGGGCTCGACCCTCCGTTTACTAATCGTGAAACAGAAACGCTGCTCTTCCAGATAGATTTTTCTCTGTTACATTGCTTACGTAAACGTTAGCAAATATGCACTAACTCTAGTTTTTTTATGTCAATTAGTAGGAAAAGTGTGATTTTGATTAAAGACCATTTACTGAAGGTATGAGAGCGATAGTTCCTAAGAAACCATTTACTGACTGTATGAGAGAGGCTATTATTGCTTAAAAGCCATTTATTAAAGGTATGAGAGTCACTACCATTCTTTCAAAACCACTATTATTGAGAACATAATCGTGAATGTTGAATATTTTCTTAAAAACCTTCACATCTGTACCAGCCAATACGCTGGTGTGAGCACCATTCATAGCACAGGTGTAGAGGTACGTTGACCCGCGACAAGTGTGTGTGTTTGTGTGTGTGGGTGTGTGTATGTGTTCCTATCTTTGTTATTACCAGAGGTGAAGGGCGCTCGTAAAATGTTCAGCGGCTGATAAATACAACATTTATTCGAGCACCTGTTTGACTTCCAACTCAAATGAAAACGGCTTTTTTTTTTTGAGCTAAAGTGTCGAAGGTACACAGTGCTCGCACGACACCACTGTCAAACCTATTTCACGTATAACCACATATAACTCGTCAGGAGACAGTTCGAGTATTGCTGGGGATATATTTTCATTAGGCGCTAAACCCGTGTCGGTCAATCAGCGTGAGGAGCATGGCGTAAAGACTCTATAAACAAAACCAATTTATATTTACACAAATAACCCGAAAATAGGTGAACCAAAATTATGACAACGTTTCGGTCCGACATGGATCATTAACTAGCCACACGAAGGTGAGGAAGCCAGTATTTATATTTCTAGAGCAGATTTCTTTTTAAGTTTTAGAGTTTCGTGACCCCTAAACCAGGCGCAGCTCGACCTGACATCATGGTCAAAAATACATGAGGCGTAGGAAGTGTGACCGCCAGCGTCAATTACACTCTGATAAGTTTTACATTAAAATATTACCTTTACATGCTGACAGGCAATACTGAACACACCTTGATTCAGTTCTATGGTATCAAAAGTCTGTATGAATGTGATTTCCAAGCATCGTTCCCCTGGCCCTGTTTACTTCATTATCATTAAGTTCAGCGTATAAGACTTGTATTCTTCAAGTTGTGAGACTTCCGTGTACATTTGTGCCTTCTGATGCTCTTTAAACTTCTTAGAATGAAGCATATATATATATATATATATATATATATATATATATATATATATATATATATATATATATATATATATATATATATATATATATATATACAAACACACACACATGGCGTCTTGCCATCCAACAGAGCTAGTAATAGAGGCTCGGTCCGCAGTTCGCTAATTGTGAGAAGAAAGTCTTACACTTCTTAAAGCCATGTTTCTCCTGTGCTGGTGATTATCAATCTAGCACTTGTTGCTATGTTGGTGTTATTAATCAGGCACTTGTTGCTATGTTGGTGTTATTAATCAGGCACTTGTTGCTATGTTGGTGTTATTAATCAGCCACTTGTTGCTATGTTGGTGTTATAAATCAGGCACTTGTTGCTATGTTGGTGTTATTAATCAGGCACTTGTTGCTATGCTGGTGTTATTAATCAGGCACTTGTTCCTATGCTGGTGTTATTAATCAGGCCCTTGTTACTATGCTGGTGTTATTAATCAGGCACTTGTTGCTATGTTGGTGTTATTAATCAGGCACTTGTTGCTATGCTGGTGTTATTAATCAGGCACTTGTTGCTATGCTGGTGTTATTAATCAGGCACTTGTTGCTATGCTGGTGTTATTAATCCGGTACTTGTTGCTATGCTGGTGTTATTAATCAGGCACTTGTTGCTATGCTGGTGTTATTAATCCGGCACTTGTTGCTATGCTGGTATTATTAATCCGGCACTTGTTGCTATGCTGGTGTTATTAATCAGGCACTTGTTGCTATGCTGGTGTTATTAATCCGGCACTTGTTGCTATGCTGGTATTATTAATCCGGCACTTGTTGCTATGCTGGTGTTATTAATCAGGCACTTGTTGCTATGCTGGTGTTATTAATCAGGCACTTGTTGCTATGCTGGTCTTATTAATCAGGCACTTGTTGCTATGCTGGTGTTATTAATCAGGCACTTGTTGCTATGCTGGTGTTATTAATCCGGTACTTGTTGCTATGATGGTGTTATTAATCCGGCAC